GATAAGGGGCGCGGGGCCTCAGCAGGAGCGCTGCCACCCGATCTGGGCCCTGACAGATGAGTGAGCAGCTGCCAGAAAGAATGTGAGCAGATGCCAGGCAGAGGGGAAAACACAGGCAAAGGCAAAAGGTGGCGACTTCATGGGACATTTAGCAAATGTAAGTTTCCAGTGAAGGGGTGGGAAAGGGAGGGAAGAAGGGAGGGAGGAGGAACGAGCTCACTTCATGCAATCTTTTGGTAAATACTTCCTGAGGAGCTGTTAGGTGCTATGTGCTACGAGCTATAATAGGTCCCAGAAAATAAAAATAAATAAAATAGAATCATAGTCATCAGTGGAGAAAAATCTAATTTAAGGAGAAAGAAACAATTCTAAGTATAAAACAACAAGTCAACCTCACTGATAGAACTGCCCACAGTGCTTCTCAGGTGTCATGGGCATGCCAGAGACAAGAAGGGGTCTGCTGGGGGCCAGAGAGGCAGCCTGTGTGATGGAGGACAGGAGGACCCAGCTGGTGAACACAGGATGGGCCACAGGAGGAGTCCCCAGATCAGGGTGAGGTTAGAGCAGGGTACATCCTTGGGAAAGGGGACAGCAGAAACGGGATGCAGGCACACAAGGGTGCGTTGTGGCCGTCCTACGTGGGCTTGTTTGGAGCAGGGTTTTACTTCCCTTTTGATGTCTTAGTAGCACTCTACATGAGGCCTGCTTTCTTTTTTTGCCGGGAGGGGGATAGTCTCACTCTGTTTCGTAGGCTGGAGTGCAGTGGCACGATCTTGGCTCACTGCAACTTCCGCCTCCCAGATTCAAGAGATTCTCCTGCCTCAGCCTTCGCGTAGCAAGTGGCTGGGATTACAGACATGTGCATCCACACTGGGCTAATTTTTGTAGTTGTTTTTTAGTAGAGACAGGGTTTCACCCAGTTGGCCAGGCTGGTCTAAAACTCCTGACCTCCGGTGATCCATCCGCCTTAGCCTCCCAAAGTGCTAGAACTACAGGCTTGAGCCACTGCGCCCCGCCAAGGCCTGCTTTTTTAAAGTGTACTTTTTTCTTTGCTCAGCAGTTTTTTTAAAGCTGTTTTGGAAAAAAAAAAAAAATCACATTCCATTTTTTCCCCCATGGTATGGATAATAAAGGCTGGACGTCTCTGACCTAGGGTGACGGTGGGCTCAATTTACATCTTATGTCCTGATGTCCCACTCAATGTCACACTCATTCCAGACAAAGTGTCCCAGTTTAGATTACAGATTATATGACTGCCCTTTTGTCCTCAAGGTGTGGTCCAAAGGGAAGCATCTTTCTCTGCCATTGCTGTTTCCCACGTGGGCCAACTCAGACGTTCAAGTGGAGCCGCAGCTCAGTTTTCCAATCTGCTCTGAACAAAGGCTCCTTTAATAAAGTGAGACTTGGTTGGAAGGAGCTGAAAATGATCTTGGGTCCTAAGCACTGGACTGAGGCAGAGAGAGCAGAAAAGGACAACAGCATTTCAGGTACTGGCCTCTCAAGAGCAAAGGGAGGCCCTGCACTTGGGGCCCCAGAAACCCCCGGCCTCTGAGCCGGAGCTGTAGACAGCTTCCATCACCACCTTGGAGGGGCAAGGAGAGATGACGGGCTCCACCCCTCCCATCATCACCCGCCCCTGACCATCCCACACCCCCAAACATCGCATTCTGTCCCCCAACCACCACCCACCTCCCAACCTCAGGCCAAGTGACCCAGGGAACCTCCCTTGGAAACAAAGGAGTTGGAGTCCCAGAGATGCAAATCCCTGATTTTAAACATCAGCTGCTGGGCACAGTGGCTCATGCCACTGTAACCCCAGCACTTTGGGAGGCCGAGGCAGGTGGATCACAGGTCAAGAGATTGAGACCATCCTGGCCAACATGGTAAAATCCTGTCATTACTAAAAATACAAAAAAAATTAGCTGGGCGTATTGGCACATGCCTGTAGTCCCAGCTACTCGGGAGGCTGAGGCAGGATAATCACTTGAACCCGGGAGGCAGAGGTTGCAGTGAGCTGAGATTGCGCCACTGCACTCCAGCCTGGCAATAGAGCAAGACTCCATCTCAAAAAAAAATCAGTGTCTACAGGATTTCTACTTTAAAGGCTCTGAAATGCCTCTCATGAAAATGGCCTTCCTCTTCCACCCTCATCCTGTCTACAGCAAGGGCTCCAATGCCTACCCAGCCTTTTTTGCTGCCGAGGGAGAATGAGGCATCTCATCAAGCGTGGAGGTGGGGGGAATACTCAGGGAAGAGACCTGAGGAAAAAGCATGCTAGTGGCCCAGGGCTCTGAAGAAAATGATGGATGCCAGAGAACATGCTAGCAAACCTCCCACCCTATTACTGCTACCTTAAAACATGACAGAGCTGCCACCAATGGAAGTCGCTTTGAGGTTCTTCCCCACATGCCAGTTAAAAAGAAACTGTTATCCTTGTTTTACACGAATATACTGGGGCATGAGTGGTTTTAAGGGATTTGCCCAAGATAGCATGGAGGGAGAATACATGTCATCTGGCAAAGTTTTAAGATGACATGAACCCACACTGTCACCTTACACTCTGTCTCAGACCCACTGGTGAATGCATCCCTGAAGAACTACAGCACTTCAGAGGAAGGAGGAAAGGAAGGATGTGTGCACATCTATTTATCCATTAAGAAAATGAAGACCAGAACCAGGGTTCAGAGTTTCCGATGCATTTTCTGGCACTTGGTCCATTTGGCCACAATACTATTTATCTTTCCAATTAATTTCACTAATATTCCTTTCCACTGTGTCCCTTAGAAATGATCCTGCCTGTTATCATCTAAAACAGTAAAAACTTAAGATTCAAATTTGCTCTTCTAAGATTTGGAGCCTAATTCCACTACCAATTCGACCTTAAGTTTGCTTAACTGGCTTAGAAATACAACACAAATCAATTTCTTTTTTTTTTTTTTTTTTTAATTGAGGGAGTTAGGATAAAACAAAATAAAAACCCAAACAAACTTAAGAAGAAATCCCCCAAATTTTCTAAATTCAGCTTCCTCCTTCGGCACTATAGATTTCATTAGAAAGAATGAAAACAGGTATTTTTAACATAAGAGTACAATCCACTACCGGTCAGCATGCAAATGTTTACATTTTTAAAAGATAATTTTTGTGTTTTTTTGGTCCCTTGGTATTCTATATGTTAAGTAGTAGGAGAAAAAGACATTAAAAAGATGTCTGTCTCCAGTAAATTTCTAATCTAGTAATAGAGGCAAGCAAAAGAAATACCAGGAAACCACCAGGTAATGCATCTGCAAATGCTAAAATGATACTGCATCCACTATGGCCACTAAGAGGGATTAGGAGAGGAAAGACACATGGGCTTTGATGTGAGATTATCAAATTTTCTTTCTTAAAATTTTTTTGAAAGGCTTCACGGAACGGCAGGGCATAAGGTGGGCTTTGGTAGATTGAAAATTTGTGAGTTTTAGGAAACAGTATTTCACCTGGGTAAGAAGAGCCCAGACTTACAGACGCAGGTGAAAGTGCAGCTCTGAAAGGGAAGAGAAGGGAAGCATGGATACTTCTGCCCATGCCTAGAGACCTGGCTTACCCTTGCATGAGTGCAGGCACGGGGTGAACCACTCACTGTGACTTCACAGTCAAGCGAGAGAGAACATTCAGGTGGGATTTGCTTCCCTCTGACATTACCAGCAGCATAGGCTGATGTCAGTGTCCCTGTGCGTAAGGTTCCTTGTGACACAACTCAGAGATCTAAGCCTCCATTAGTTACTTGAGGCACTTCTAAGTACCTTTATAGTTTTATAAAATTTCACTAACATTGGGAATTGTTTTTTCTCATTTCTCTTGGTGCCATTCTAGTAACTTGGCAATTGCTTTAATAGACAAAACTCAATCATGCATGATCTAGCACAGGTGAGAAAATCAGAGGCATGCTTACCAATGGCAGCACAAAGCTTATGTGGGGGTGCATGGGATGGAATAGCTAACTAGCTAGAAAGGGTCCTCTTTACAGAGGGTCTGCAGTATCAGGCAGGGGCACTGAAGCCTGGGGGTCACCAAGGGCCACAGCACAGGGGACTGACAGGGAGAATCCAGAGGCTGGAACTCTCCTTACCAGTCACCTGCCCTCATTGTTAAACCCCACAGTGTTCTCAGGCCACCATGCCACAAAGGAAAACATACTGGGTAGAGGCAGGAGGCGTGTTTCCATCACTCCTCAAATGCCACTGGCCCACATGACCTGCGCAGTTAGTGTAACCTTTCTGAATTTAAGCTTTGTCAACCATAAAATGGAAAAGTTGGACTAGAAGATCACTGAAGTCCATTCTAGCTCTAAAGTTCAAAAGATCTTTGGTCTCCAAAATCAGGTTAAATTCTAGTGCTCGGTGGCTCCGCCCTCACCCTGCTCCCAGTCCAATAACTTCATGCAACACATCGCTGAGAGCCAATAGGAACGAAAGCGCTGATTTAAAGAAACAGGAATATCAAGTGCAATACTGAAAAAAGCTGAAACACACAGGAAGATCTGGATGCTTCCCTCCTGGTGCTTCCAGAAACGCCACAAAATCGCCACATTTGCCTCAAATCACCAAATCTCTTAATTCAGATTATCCATGTCAAGAATATCCAGTTCTCCTATAAACAAAATGATACTTTTATGTTTCCCTAAGTTAGAAATGTTTCTAAGTATTAAAATAAGCACAGCCATAGTCCTAAACTGTATTTTTCTACTGAAAAGACAACACCAGAAGCTAATCTCATGAAATCAGTCCATGTAAGACCAAGCCTGTTAACTACTATTGTGATGCTAAGTCCAGAACTCCTGTGCAAAATGTGGCCCTAGAACCAGCTAGACCAGCATCACTCACTAAATCAGAATCCCTGCAGGGGGGGCCCAGCCGACTTTGTCTTCCGAAGTCCTCCAGGTGATTGTGACATGCACCTGAATTTGAAAACTGCTTGTCATTTTTCAGAAGCCCACAGAAATAAAAACAAAGCCAACATACCTGGCTCCAAAGATGTCCTTTTTGGCGAGATCAATTCCAGAAACAACTTTTACTCTGAGAATACGTGACTCTCCCTGTGACAAGAGGAACAAAAAAGAGGTTAAAAAAACTGATCTTCAATGAATCACTCTCCCATCCAATATTAAAGTCATTGATTTCTATTCAGTCCACTATTGGGATACAGAATAAATCAATTCAAGCATAAGCAATTCTTCCTTACACTGAAGTTCAAAAAGCAATATTCCAGCTCTAAAATTTTGTAACTCTAGAAACTTACAGCATCTAAGTAAATTAAGCACAAGTTTAATTCAAAGTAGGTCACTAAACTAAGATCAATTACTCCTGACATTTAAAGTCAGTATTTCCCAGCTGTACCAAGAATACAATCACACACATAAAACGATCTAAAGGTCCAAGTGTCACAAGTTTGCACAAATAAATAATTCCTCCCTTAAGTTGACATTTTTATGTGACCTGCAATAAAAAGGAATTTAATGTAATAAAACATTTCAAAATTATAGTGCTTTTAAAATATTGGCATCAACAAGCAAAAATAATTCCTTAGTTCCAGTAAAAAGAAATAAAAACCATCTAAATGGAAACCACCCCAAAGTGTCTCAGAAATCAATCACCTGTTCATTTGTTCATTTATTCATCATTTCTTCATTCATTCCAAAATTTCCTAAGAAGCTCCTATGCCCAAGGCCTTGAAATACAGACATGAATATGCTCCAGGCTCCACTGAAGGCGACAAGCAGCCCAGCAGTATAGGACTCTACCACAGCTTAGAGTAGTACTTCAGGGCTACGACATTCAGGACAGGTGAGATGGCTTAGGAGAAGGTGGTAGGCAGAAGTCCAGGATAACTCAGGTTTCTAGTTTGGATCATGAACTGTCAACATGAACTGAAATAGAGGACTGTGTCCAAGGTGTCTATGAAGCAATCAGATGGAAAAAAATAGATCACTAAATGGGGAGAAACGTCTGGTCTGAGTAGAGAATTAGAAGTTATCAATGTAGAGTTGGCAGTTACAACCAAGGTCTATAGAAACTTAGCCTAAAAGAGCGAGAATAAAAAATGGCTCAGGATGGAGTTCCCAAGAACACAATGGCTGACAGAGCAAGAAAGCATTAATATGAAATTAATCTACCCAATGTTTAGTCAAGATGTAGGTGAGGGTAAGAAAATCTCAAGGATTATATAATGTCGAAGAGAACAACGGCAAGGCAAAAATAAAACATGGAGGGTACAGGATGGTGGACCTTTGTCAATTAGCTGCAAAGATCAAACATATATCCATGCAATGGGCACATATCCTTGAGAGACTTTACACTCCAGGAGCCTTCCATCCACTCAACCATCCATCCAACCACATATTCCCAGCACAAGTCTGCCCATGTGGCAAGCACAGTGTCCCCATAATACGGTAAAGAACACAAATACGGTAAAGATGATGTTCTCATATCGTTTGTGTCAATGTTCTTTCAAACATGGCCTGCTTTCAAGGTTGGCAGGACTGAATGTGTTTGCCAGCCTTCACAAAAGGGTTAAGAGATGTAAAGTAACACCAGGGAAGTTAGGGATAACTAAAACAATACCCTACTATAGCAACGGGCAGCCCAAAGTGCTTACAGAAGCATCGGGGGTTAGCTGCTGTTCCCTTTTCTCTGGGCACTGCAGGGATTGCTCTGCCCATCTCTGGAACACTCACAGGCTAGGAGTCAGGGTTCTTTCTTTAGCACAGGATGTTATGTAGGCCAAGGCTCTTTTCTGGTTCTCACAGTAAGTTGTACCCTGCTGCTAATCATCTGATACCTCCATGGCCTGCTCAGCTCAAACGATGTCACTCTTAGAGTATTTTTTACACATGCTTCAAAACTTGAAGTAGTACCAGCTATTTGGGGAAGGGCAGAAGCAGGTGGATCACTTGAGTCCAGGAGCTCAAGGCTGCAGTATGCTATGATCATGCCTGTGGGTAGCTACTGCACGCAAACCTGGGCAACACAGCAACACACGTTTCTTTTCTTTTCTTTTTTGAGACAGAGTCTCACTCTGTCATCCAGACTGCAATGCAGTGGTGCAGTCTCAGCTCACTGTAACCTGCACCTCCCAGGTTCCAGCAATTCTCCTGCCTCAGCCTCCCAAATAGGTGAGATTACAGGCACATGCCACCATGCCCAGCTAATTTTTGTACTTTTAGTAGAGATGGGGCTTCACCATGTTGCCCAGGCTGGTCTTGAACTTCTGACGTCAGGTGATCCACCTGCCTTGGCCTCCCAAAGTGCTAGGATTACAGGCACCAGCCACCCTGCCTAGCCACAACACCCCATTTCTAAAAAACTTTAATGCATAGAGAACCTGTAACGACATTTCTTTATTCCACAACTATTTACTGAGTAGCCATGATGTGCCAGACACGTTATCTGGAGAAAGAGATGTAAACAAGACTGAGTTCCTGCCTCAAGCAACCCATCATCTAGTAGGTGGAAGACAGACTATAAATACATAATGCAAACGGCAAGCAAGATGATTTCTGATGGTGGCAAGTGCTCTGAAGGCAATATGACAGTTAAACAAAAGCAACTGAGTAGAGGGAGAGGGAAAAAGCAACTGGGGAGACGAACATTCATGGCTGAGTGATCAGGAAATGCTTCATTTGGTGGAAAGACACTGGAGCTGAAACCTGAAGAAAGGAGGCCAAGTGGTGCGCGGGGCTGAGAGTTCCAGGAAAGGCTGACAGCAAGCCCCGCTTGACGGAGGGAGGCAGAGTCCGTGCAGGGCACCGTGGGATCTGGTGGGGTCAAAGACCACAGAAGCCAGCCTCAGGAGAGGGTGGATTATCCCAACTATTTGGGGAGAAGCACTGGAAAGTTTTAAGCAGGGGAGTGACAAAATGTGACTTCAGTCTTTGAAAGAACCACCGTGGCTGCTGTGAGTGAACAGGGCAGAAGGTGGGAGGACAATTGGACAGAGTTTCTGGCAAGAGCTTTTAATACGATGGAGGTGGAGAGAGAACCAGATCCAGTATATAAAAATGTAGTTGAAATAAATGATTTTTTAAAAAGTTTCAAAATGGCTTATACAATTGAGCTACAAGCATGCTAGTGCTTCCACAGAAAAGCGTCCCTTTTCTACCCAGACACGCAGCTTGACTACATTTCCCAGCCTTCCTTGCAGTTGGGTGCAGTAATGTGACTAAGTTCTGGCCAATGGAACGTGGTCAGAAGTGATGAGGCCTCTTTCCGCACCAGCTCCATAAGCCCCGCCCACTCACCAGCCTTCATTCTCATCCATGTCCCTCCATGAAATGGGGAAGGTCCTGGAGATCAAGAAGGGAAAACCATATAAAAGGAGTAGAGCCAAGCACCCCGCATCTCCTGACTCTCCCCAGAAATGAGCTGGAGATAAGACTTTTTCTGTTTATTTCCACCCAAAACCAAAAGTTGTTATAGCAGTCAACCCTGAAGTACAATGTAATCTCATTTTTTTTTTTTTTTTTAAAAGTCAATGATATAGCTGCGTAGAAAAAGACCTGGAAAGGGTGATATTAGTAGTGATTACCTCTGGAAAATGAATCACTTCTTCGGGCTTATTTTCATTTTTTTTTCCCTTTTGAAGCATTAAATATTTTTGTTTATAAACTAGACTTTCATTTTTTTTTTAAAAAAGTAAACACTAAGAAAAGCAAAATAAAAATTTTAACACCATTCAGGTGTGATTTTGCAGAAGAAAAACAAATCTGCCACGTGTGGTGGCTCACATTTGTAATCCCAGAACTTTGGGAGGCCAAGCAAGGCAGGTGGATCATTTCAGGTCAGGAGTTCAAGACCAGCCTGATCAACATGATGAAACCCTGTCTCTACTAAAACTATAAAATTAGCTGGGCATGGTGATGCACACCTACAGTCCTGGCTACTCAAGAGGCTGAGGCAAGAGAATCGCTTGGACCCGGGAGGCAGAAATTGCAGTGAGCCAAGATCGTACAACTACACTCTAGCATTTGAGAGTGAGACCCTGTCTCAAAAAAAAAGAAAAAGAAAAGAAAAACAACCCTTTGAGTTATTTTTTGGCAACTCACAAAGGTATAGAGCTGCAAATATGGAAGATATGAAGGGGTTCTCTTATGTAACATGTAGGCAACAGCTGAGAGGCAACCTTTACTGAGCACTTACTGTTTACAAGCACCTGTCGCAGGAAATTTCACTTCTCTCTCGAGTTCCAAGAAAAGAGAGCATTACTCTATAAAAAATAATTTACACATGCATTTTAGAGACACAGCAAAAATGTCTTATCTTTGTTTCCTCAAAATGACAAGCTTAAACACAGATAAGCAGCCACCGTCATTCTGTAAAGAAGCACATGACAAGGTGTGTAACCAATTTATCAGACGCAGTGGCCTCAGGCTGAGCCGCTGTACTTTCTGAAGCATTTTATTACTTTCATAAAATCTATGTGTGATATTCTGACCCCGTTTATGACTCCAGTAGAATTAAATATTTAACTAAGGTGGCTTTACTTAGACAATGAAAATATTATTCATAGATTGACTGTACAATGCAGAGGAGAAAGAACAGAGTAGAGACACGGCTGAAGAGAACTTTCAACATCTCTTCCTGTCATTAATCTATTGTTCTAAACTGTTATCATGTAACAGGGGTGATTCTGTTAGCTTTACACATATTTTTCTTTCACACTGAATTTTCTAATTCTTCACCGAGGCATAAAACGAGATAAGGCGCCTAAGCCATAAGTGATAGCAGCACACTAAGAAATAAAGTGTCCAAACTGAGAAACAGGTAGTAATCTGAAGGTCCGTTTGCGAGACCTCCATCTGGAACTCCAGCAGCCCTACCCATAAACTGTGCACAAGCAGTTACTAGAGTCCCATGGTCACCCACAAAGCCTATAAAATACACAATCCATCAACAGTGTTCAGGTGGTAAAATAAATTTCAAGTTCCAACTCAAAACTCAAGATACTAGAATTTTCCATTTCTCCTATGACTTTGTCTTAAGAAGGTTAATTTGTTATCTTTTATTCTTATTTTCCACAATGGCAGGTCCTCTCCTAAAA